TCAATATATGTATAAAATACATAATGATCAAGACAGAGTACTTTAGCATTTCCATTTCCTCAAATAGCATAATTTCTATGTTGTGGAAATCCTGAACTCTTCTTTTTGAAACAGTTAATAAATTTCTTTAGGCAACAGATACCCTGCCATTCACCATTCTATGGAACATGAGAACTAAGTGTATTTGGTACCCATTAGCCAACCTCTTTCTATCCTCCCTACCTTTCATAGTCTGTAGTCATGACTTTTATATCTCTACTATGTGATCATCTTCTTTAGCTTCCGTAAATGAGTGAGAGAATGCTATATGCAGCTTTTTGGGGCTGGCTTATTTCAATTAACATAATGTCTGCCACTTTGATCCACGTTACAGATGATAGAATTATCCTTCAGTGGGATACATAAAGAAAAGAACTGTTAATGTTAGCTGGGCATTGGTGGCTCATGCCTCTAATCCTAGCTACTCAAAAGGCTGAGATCTAAGGATCATTGTTCAAAGTCAGCCCATGCAAGAAAGTCTGTGAGACTTATCTCCAGTTAACTACCAAAAAAGCCAGAAGTAGAGCTGACTCAAGTGGTGGAGAGTTGGCCTTGAACAAAAAAAAAATCTCAGTGACTCCGCTTATGCCCTGAATTCAAGACTCAGGACCAGTACCAAAAAAATAAATAAAAGAACTGTTATGTTTATTTCATCTTAGAAGATTTCTGTTTTATGTTTTATTGTTATATTACTTTCATTTATGGGGAATAACTACATATGCAAAGTATTTGCTAACTTTTTGTTTTGTGATCCAAAACATTTGGAGAACATTACTTTTGGTCCATGTTGCTTGTACTGTGGTCTCTGAACCAACAGCACCTCAAGGGAGTCTGACAGAAATGCAGACCCTTAGGGCCCACCCAGAATCAGAATCTGAATTTTAATATGCTCATCAGTGCATACTCAAATTTGAAAAGTATGATAAAGTACAACTGACTCTTGATAATCTGAAATTTGTGTTAAGACAAGTTTTTCGTCCCATGACAGTTTTTCATGGCTCCCTCCCTATACTTAGTGCTGAGTTAGAGGGAACTGCAAACACCTACGTGCTTGAGCCTCACTGGAGTCACTGTCCTCAGGGTATTGATACTTCCTTATACATCACTGCACTTCTTTAACTTAGATCTGAAACTGTATAAACTAAGTTTACACTCTTCTTTGCCATCAATAAAGGCAAACTTTTCATATTTGTGTTAAGTACAATTCAGCACTCAAATATTATCGTCAGATAATTCAGTTATTTCATGGTTTCTCTTACCTAAATACATTTAACTTCTTAAGGGCTTTTTTTCTTTAAAAAGGTGAATATTACTTTGTTTCTTATGGACCAATTATTAAATCTTTGAATGATAGTAGGTGTTTTACAAAGAAATAGAATGGCTGTTGAACATTTTTTTCAAAATAGCTCTTCCAGGGCTGGGAAGTTGGCTCAGTGGCAGAGTGCTTGCCTTGCATGCCTGAGGCCCTGGGTTCGATTCCTCAGCACCACATAAGCAAAAAGAAAAAAGCTGAAGTGCGCTGTGGCTCAAGTGGTAGAGCACTAGCTTTGAGCTGAAGAGCTGAGGGACAGCGCTCAGGCCCAGAGTTCAGGCCACACGATGGGACCAAAAAAAAAAAACAAAAAAAAAAATAGCTCTTCCAGCAGATTTTATATAATGGCTCTTTAAAAGGAATATTACTCAAACCTCTCACTAGACAGTCATTACATACCTATTTTTTTGAATTCCAAAAGAGAAGCTCAAACGTTAATATTCTTTAATATAATCATAAATATTCACATATTTTCCTTTGAGATGCTGCAGGGAGGAATGGAGAAAAGTTGTTAGGTTTCTTTTTTTTTTTTTTTTTGGTTCCGGTCGTGGGGCCTGAACTCTGGGCCTGGGCACTGTCCCTCAGCTCTTCAGCTCAAGGCTAGTGCTCTACCACTTGAGCGCCACTTCCGGCTTTTTTCTTTTTGCTTATGTGGTGCTGAGGAATCGAACCCAGGGCCTTGAGCATGCAAGGCAAGCGCTCTACCACTGAGCCACCTTCCCAGCCCAGTTGTTAGTTTTCTTGGTAAAGATTTGTCAGATTTTTTCCTAGAAAAGAAGTATCTAGTACATTAAAGCATGCTATACTTCCTCCTTTCAAAACAAAATTTCTTAGGAATGCTATTAAACATTACTTTAAAATTATCTTTAAATAGTTGTACAATGAAGTTGCCATTCAATTAAACCATTTATGTAAACAATGCATCTTGATCAAAGTCACCCATTTAATCATTTTTCCCTATCTCTCCCAACCTACCACTTCCCTCACTTTTCTTAAATTTGTAGAATATGCACTGAATTTCATGACTGCATTCTCCCGCCAAACATTATTAGTATTTTTTTTTTTTTTTGCCAGTCCTGGGGCTTGAACTCAGGGCCTTGGCACTATCCTTGAGCTTTTTTTTTTTCTTCCAAGGCTAGCCACAGTGCCCCTTCTGGCTTTTTCCTTTTATGTGGTACTGAGGAACTGAACCCAGGGCTTCATGAATGCTAGGCAAGCACTACCACTAAGTCACATTCCCAGCCCTCTAAACATTATTCTTTTCTTTTTTTTTTTTTTTTTTGGGTCCGGTCGTGGGGCCTGTACTCTGGGCCTGGGTGCTGTCCCTCAGCTCTTCAGCTCAAGGCTAGCACTCTACCCCTTGAGCCACAGCGCCACTTCCGGCTTTTTTCTTTTTGCTTATGTGGTGCTGAGGAATAGAACCCAGGGCCTCAGGCATGCAAGGCAAGCACTCTACCACTGAGCCACCTTCCCAGCCCCTAAACATTATTCTTAATAGCACTTTCCCTGATTACATCTTTTCATAGGAATCTTAGGAAATGCTTTGTGTCCTTTAATCTTTACTTCATTTTCATTTTTCTTTCCTCAGTAACTCTTCTCTGATTACTAGTTCATGTGTGTGTTTGTGTGTGTGTATGTGAGAGAGAGAGAGAGAGAGAAAGAGCGAGCGAGCATGTGCACATGCGTGCATGCCAGTCCCAGGGCTTGAACTCAGGGCCTGGGTGCTATCCCTGTACTTTTGTGCTCAAGGATAACCGCAGCTCCACTTCTGGCATTTTGGTGGTTAATTGGAGATAAAGAGTCAAAGACCTATCTGCGTGGGCTGATCTGATCCTCCAATCTCAGCCTCCTGAGTAGCTAAGATTACAGCCATAACCCACGAGCACCTGGCTTACTGGTTCTTAATAGCTTACTCTAAACGTATTTCTTCCTTCTGTCCTCACAATATACTGTTTTAATAGGTTATTGGAGGGACATCAGGAGCTCTCTAGATTTTACTAGTGGAAATACTGATTCAGAGTATAGAAAGAGATGGCAATTCTGTGAGCATATTCCTTGGGTTTGGCAAGATGGTTTATGCCTATAATCCTACCTACTCAGGAGGCAGAGACATAGAGGATAACAATCAAAGCCAGCCTAGGCAGAAAGGTCTGCAAGACTTTTTATCTCCAGTTGATCAGCAAAGTGTCAGATTGAAGACATGACCAGCAATGAGTAAAAAAGCCAAGCCAGAGTGCAAGGCTCTAAGTTCAAGCCCTAGTATTAGCACACATGTCAACCAACATCTGGGCACAGTAGTATATATTTTCATCCCAGTGATGCAGGGAAGCACAAATAAGAAGGCCAGCATAAAACAAGACCTAATCCTGAAAATACCCAATACAAAAAGGACTGTCAGAGTGGTTTAAGTGGTAGAGCACCTGCTTAGTAAGCACAAACCCCTATACCACTAAAAAAAAAAAAAAAAAAAGCATATTTCTTGAATTTAGGTAGTTAGCATTTGCAGTATGACCTTGGGATGTTTCAGAATTCATGTATCTGTCCTTCCCTTTTTATTATAGGTTTAGTGTGAAGACACAGTGCAAGAGCTCAACCTTTGTTGTTGTTGTTTTTTAATTTTTTATTGTAAAGATACTATACAGAGGGTTACAGTCACATGAGTAAGGTAATGAGTACACTTCTTATTGAGCATTGTTACCCCCTCCGTTGTTTTCCCCCTACTATCCCTTCCCTCCCTACCTTCCCCGAGGTTCTTTTTTTTTTTTTTAATTGTGATTAAGTGATTATATAATTTCCCAAATTTCACAGTATAGTGGAATAATGATGCTCATTTAAAGTCACAAGTTCATTCTAACTTTCCTGGAGCAAATTGTCTATCACAGTCTATAACATATAACAGTGTACACATATACACCATACATGTGATCAGCAGCATGGGGATATTTAGTAGTGGTTCGACCAGATGAGTGGGAGTTCTTCTTAAGTCCTGTTAGTTTTGTCATATCACCTAACATTTTGGATTTAGCATCCACTTATCGGGAGACCATGTACCGTTTGTCTCTTTGCTCTTGGCTTACCTCGCTCAACATGATTCCTTCTAGCTCCATCCATTTCCCTGCAAATGCCATTATTTTGTCATTTCTAATGGCTGCATAATATTCCATTGTGTATAGATACCACAATTTTTGGATCCATTCATCTGTGGTGGGGCATCTGGGTTGTTTCCATATCCTGGCTATTGTGAACAGTGCTGCAATAAACATGGAGGTGCACGTGTCCTTGTATATTGGTTCCTGTTGTTCAGGGTAGATGCCTAGAAGTGGTATGACTGGGTCGTAAGGGAGGTCAATCTTTAGCTTTCTAAGGACCCTCCAGACTGCTTTCCAAAGTGCTTGTATAAGTGTACATTCCCACCAGCAGTGTAATAGGGTTCCTCTTTCTCCACATCCCATCCAGCATTTGTCATTGGCTGATTTGTGGATGTGGGACATTCTGACTGGGGTAAGGTTCAACCCTTGTTTTTTAAAATTTAGTACTAGGCTGCAAATTTTCCTTAAAACCAAAAAGCACAGTAAATTCTAAGTATATGACAAGGTCTAGGTTATATGATTTCATTTTAAATGAGTGCTTCATATTGTATTATTCCTAGGAAGAACATGTTCTTTTCCAACTTGAAGAGGGCATTGAAGCTTTGGAGGCTGCAATTGAATACAAGAATGAAAGTATCCAGAGCCGCCAGGACTCACTTCGAGCATCATTCCAAAATCTTTCTCAGAGTGAAGCAAATGTCTTGGAGAAACTCATTTGCCTGAATCCTGTTGAGACTAGAGCTATCCTTTTCAGATACTTCAATAAGGTTTGTTTGTGAGGAACAATATTTTTCTTACAGAGAATAGTCAAGAGCTCCTCATTATGTCAATTTTTTAAAGAAAAAAATTAAAGGCATAAAGATTTGATGGTAGAACTACAAATTTAAACATGACTTCTTTTTATAGTACTAAATGTTACCTGAAAATTTATAATTGTCCATGTAGGTACACCTAACTTAGTGAAATGTTTAAAGTTGGAGAACTTTTCATTAGAAAGGATTTAGATTATATTGCTTCCTTACTTTTATTGAGTATAAGTTTGTGAGTTGCTATGCAACATTATGAAAAGTCAAGGGCCCTCTGACTTTTTCTTTCATTGCTGTGGGGAGGTAAACCTGTACTTTTTCATCATGTGTGACTTGAATAGAGATGAAGTGGTGCTTCAGTGGCAAAGATAACAATAGACTTTATTAACTTATACTTAAATCAATTAAAATATTTTACATAATTTTTTTAATTTACTGATCCAGGGCTGGGAAGGTGGTTCAGTGGTAGAGCGCTTGCCTTGCATGCATGAAGCCCTGGGTTCGATTCCTCAGCACCACATAAGCAAAAAGAAAAAAGCCAGAAGTAGCGCTGTGGCTCAAGTGGTAGAGCGCTAGCCTTGAGCTGAAGAGCTGAGGGACAGCACCCAAGCCCAGAGTTCAGGCCCCACGACCAGACCACCCCCACACACACAAAAAAAAGAATTTACTGATCCAGAGATGACTATAAGCATTAAGAACTTTGTCCATCTTTTTTAATGTCCTTTCCACTTAAAATAGACATTACAGAGTTGCTGTTGTTATATTTCTCTGAAAAATATAGTTTATAGAATACCAGGCAACTGATAAATAAAGCACCAAAGTTTTTAATGTTCTAATTAAACAGAATAGAATAAAGATATGTCAGATGCTGGTGGCTCATGGTTATAATCCTAGCTATTCAGGAGGCTGAGATCTAAGGATCACAGTTCAAGGCCAGTGTGGGCAGAAAAAGTCTGTCTCTTCAACTAATCAGCAAAAAGCTAAAAGCAAAACTGTGATTCAAGTGGTAGAGTGCCAGATTTGAGCAAAAACACCAAGCAAGAGCAAAAATCCCTGAGTTTAAGGCCAAGTACAAGCAAGGAAGGAAGGAAGGAAGAAGAGAAGGAAGGAGGGAGGGAGTCAGGCAAGCATACAGTTTCCTCTTAGATACCTACAATAATTAATTACAATTACTACTGTAAGCTACTTCAATTGTGAGAGTGCATCTAGTTGCAGTGCTTGTTTAGAAAATAGAAAAATAGTGGAGTCCTGTCCTAGGCAGTAGCTTACAGCTATAGAGGTTAAAGAAGTTCATCTTTATGTAGTCCCAAAATAGTCGATTGTAAGACACGACTAAAAGTACAAAACTTATGTTTGCTAGGTGGTTAATTTACGAGAAGCAGAGCGAAAACAACAGTTAGAAAATGAAGAGATTAAATTAAAGGTTCTTGAACAGGATAATATGGTTCGTGAGTTGAAATCTGCACTGGATCATCTGAAGTTACAGTGTGATCGGAGGCTCACCCTGCAACAAAAGGAACACGAGCAAAAGATGCAGCTGTTGTTACATCATTTCAAAGGTAATTGTCTTTTTCAGTATACAGAAGTGATTCAGGAAGGAAGACAGAATTTGATCACCCAACACATGATCCAATATATATAAATAGTTAATACTTACACTACTTTGGGCCTTTACATATTTTGGTTATGGGAGAGTGAACTTTGATGAAGGCTATTAATGCTTGAGATGCCATTTCTTCTACCTGTCCCCAACCCACATGTAAGTACTGCTGCTAAGTACTCTTAGCTTGTTGTTGGTGTAGTTTTTATGTTAAAATGTAGGACTACTTCTGGCTTTTTGGTGTATAGTTGAAAATTTCTTTCAAGCTTGACAAATTATTTTCCGTTAACAAACTTCAAGTGAATGATGTCCTGTTACTACCTAAACTACCTAAATTTATTATAATTTTATTTGGTTATGATTTTTTATGCATGGAGGTTATATCATAAGTTGAAATTAGTCTACCAAATACTGTCACTAGTGATCAGCAGTTCAACCATTAGCTGATGTAGAAAGAGAGCTGTCATAATGATCAGTCCTCACATTATCTGGGCATATGGCCAGTACACAAACAGTTGCTATGGTAACAAAATCACAGCCAGGTGATACTATTTCTCTCTCTTTTTTTTTTTTTTTTGTCGGTCGTAGGGCTTGAACTCTGAGTCTGAGCTATTCAGCTCAAAGCTAACGCTCTACCACTTGAGCCACAGTGCCACTTCCAAAGTGATACTATTTCTGCCTCAATCCAGACTACTTACTCTTTTTTACAAAAATAAAAATATTTTATTTTTGGTGTTACTGGGGTTTGAACTTAGGGATTTGCATTGAATTCAGGGCTTTGCATCTGCTAGACAAGTATTCTACCTCTGAGCCAAAACTCCAGTCAGGCTGCTATGGCTTGATAATCAGTAATTGAAAATGGGTCAGATGGACCCAAGGAAGCAGAAAACCCTTGGAAAATACATGAATTTGCTTTTTGAGGCAATGTGCCTCTAAGATAGTTGCATATCTGGCTTAATTAGCAACCAGTGCCTAATGACAGGATTTCCTTGACACGATCCCACACATTATTACATCTGAACATGCTAGCCTTTCTTTAGTTTCCCGTCTCAAGTGTCTAAGAGTGATGTTTGATTACAATTTTTATGTCTTTTAAAGCAACTGGAATTATAATACCAGTATACATTCTAGTATTTGATGTATATATCAAAGCTCATGTCATAGTCAAATGAGAACATTCTTTAACACTATAGCTATACAGCGTTCTCATAACAAAGTTGTAACTGAAAATGTTAACAATTTGTGAATTTTCTATGTTCAACTAAATGAATATGGGAAATTTTGAAAAAATATAAAAATATGTAAAATAAAAACTATACTTTTATGTTGGTGGTGGTTTTTTGTTTTTTTGTTTTTTGGGTTTTTTGGTACTGAAGATCATATCAAAAGTCTCACACATGCTATCCAAGTGCTCTAATACTGAACTATACAACACTACCCAGCTCTACTGTATGAGTCTCTGATTTATAGTATCATTAATTTTAAGAAATTTTAAAAACATGGAGGGTTAAATTAAGCTATACAAATACACTTAAAATTGTACGAAAACAACACAATTTTCAAACCAGCAGGACTATTTTATAAATATATCACAGTAAGTCTGAAAGTACCTACTTTTTAAGTCAGTATACTGGGTTTTACTATTCTGGGCAGGGTTAAACATAAACATGAGCTAGAAACTTTTAAGTTATATGTGACATCAGCTAACTTATGCTGCCATCTCACTTTTTATGCCATGTTTTCTTTGTGATTTAATCTCTACCCTCTTTTAATAAGTTTGCTTCTTTGTAAGTTTCTTGGTTGTAGATTGTTTGTGCCTGTGAAGCCTAAACTTAGAATTTTTCCTATAATCACAGTTCCTGACATAAACTTTTTTTTTTTTGGTCTGGTCATGGGGCCTGAACTCTGGGCCTGGGTGCTGTCCCTCAGCTCTTCAGCTCAAGGCTAGCACTCTACCACTTGAGCCACAGCGCCACTTCTGGCCTTTTCTGCTTATGTGATGCTGAGGAATCGAACCCAGGGCCTCATGCATGCAAGGCAAGCGCTCTACTACTGAGCCACCTTCCCAGCCCCCTGACATAAACTTTTAAGTAAGATATTGAAAGAGCTTATGGAAAGAGAAACATGAACTTTGTGTAGGAAATGCTGGCTTCTGCTGTTCTAAGAATGAGTGTTTAGTTGTAGTTGCAAAATGTTTATGAATTGTCAGGTAGGGATGGAGTAAAAGAAGTGACTTAAGTGCTAATGTTTTCCAAAATATAGGTAGAAAAATTGAGATTGTGAGATGTAATGTAACATACTCTGATCCTTTGAAGATAGTCAGGGGTCATGTTAAAACATACTTTTAAATCATTTGTTTAAAACCAAGTTTAAATGTAAATTTTCACTTTATAGAGCAAGATGGAGAAGGTATTAGAGAAACTTTAAAAACATATGAAGATAAAATCCAGCAGTTGGAAAAAGATCTTTATTTCTATAAGAAAACCAGCAGAGATCTTAAGAAGAAGCTTAAAGAAGTGGCACGCGAAGCAGTTCAGTGGCAACTAGCATTGTCAGAACGTAAGACCTATGCTACTTGTGTTAACTGTGTTTCTCTGTGTTTGGTGAGGTCATACTCAATTTGTTGTGCAGCATTTCTCAAGATAACTGGGTTATTTAGGATGAGTCACTTCTGTTTGTCACTGCAGACAAAAACTAGTTTAGTTTATGTATAGGACAGAACTTCAGGAGAGTGAATGAATGAGTGGACAGTATGAAGGGAGTTATCACTAATCTTTTTTTTTTTTTTTCCCAGAAGGCAAGGCTTTATTCACTATTGAGAATATTCTGATCAAATTTGAAAATTAAAGAACAATACAGTTGAAGTAGTTTTAAAGAATATGTTAACTGAAAATAAAGGTTATCTTAAATATACCTTGCCTAGTATAAATGTTAATGCCAATTCTTCCTGTTGAATGGATTCATGAATCTCTGCACTATAATTATCAATCGGAGTGTAAATGGCATATGCTGAACCATTCATTTTACTTCAAGTAGTGCTCACTGATTACCACTAAGACTACTTAACTTTCTCTTGTTTTTCTTAACAGTCGAGTATAATTGATTTTCATGTATTTAAAATATGTAGACTACAAATGCATAAACTAAGCTACAAACTGTATCTAAAATTGATACCTAAAGCTGTAGGAAACATCATTTATTGTCTGCTGTGTGCTAGTGATTTTTAGTCTTTAATTCATTTAGTCCTTAAAATAGCCCTATAATTTATTTGTTGTTTTCCTATTTTATAGTAAAATGAGCCTTCTAATTACCATTGGAAAAAAAAACATGAAGCTCACACCTGTAATCCTAGCTACTCAGGAGGCTGAGATCTGAGGCTCAAGGTTCAAAAAGCCAGCCCGAGAAGGAAAGTCCATGAGACTCTTATCGCCAAGTATGGCTCAAGTAGTAGAGCATTTGCTCCAGGACAGCGCCCAGGCCCAGAGTTCAAGTCCCATGACCAACAAAATTAAAAAAAAAAAAAAAAAAAAAGTAACTGCTGAACACTGGTGGCTCATGCCTATAAATCCTAGCAACTCAGAAGGCTAAGATCTGAGAACTGAAGTTCAAATCCAGACCAGGAAGGAAAGTCCCCTGACTCTTTTCTCCAACTAATCTCACACACACACACACACACACACACACACACACACACACAGAGCCACAAGTAGAGATTTCTGGCTCAAGTGGTAGAGTACTAGCCCTGAGCAAAAATCTCAGGAACAGTGCCCAGGCTCTGAATTCAAGATCCAGAACTTACAAGAAAAAAAAAAAAAAGATATAGCTGGGCACCCATAGTTTATACCTGTTATTCTAGCTTCAGGAGTCTGAGATCTAAGGATCAACATTCAAAAGCTAGCCTGGGTAGAAAAGTTCATGTGATCCCATCTTCAATTAACTAGAAAAAAGCCAGCCCAAAGGTATGGCTCAAAAAGTAGAATGCCAGCTGTAATCAAGCAAGCCAGCAAGCCCAGGGAGTGAGTGCATGGTCCTGGATTCAAGCTCCTTGCACTAGTAATAGAGAATAATAAAAATAAAGATAAAAGTGTATTTCTAAGATAAATCAGTTTTTTTTTGTCAGTCGTGGGGCTTGAACTCTGGGCTTGGGCATTGTCCCTGCACTCTTCAGCTCAAGGCAAGCGCTCTACTGCTCAAGCCACAGTGCTACTCCCAGTTTTCTAGTGGTTTATTGGAGATTAAATTCTCACAGACTTTCTTGCCCAGGCTTTGAACCGTGATCCTCAGATCTCAGCCTCCTGAGTAGCTAGGATTACAGGCATGAACCACCGGCACCCAGCTAACATATACCCTTTTTAAGCGGGGTGCCAGTGGCTCATGTCTTTAATCCTCACTACTCAAGAAGCTGAGATCTGAGGATCACAATTCAAAGCCAGCCTAGATAGGAAAGTTTGTGACTTCGTATCTCCAATTAATTACCAAAATAGCCTGAAGTGGAGCTGTGGCTCAAGCAGTAGATGCTAGCCTTTAGCCAAAAAAGCTCAGTGACAGCACTTTGAACCAGCATAGGAAATAAACAAATGCACACACCTCTTTTAGGACAGCAAAATAAAAGTAATATTTCTCAAATAACAGTCTATAAAATAACAGCCTTCTTTCAGAGGTTCGTTCTAATAATTTAAATATGGTTTGTGAAATATTAAGACTATACCTAACTTGACCTTTAAAGAAAATTGTTCTTAGATGACAAGACAAATGAAAGAATTTAGTGGAAAAATTATATTTATGTGCAATGAATATACATGATGACTATAGAGTGGAATTAGCATACTTTTCTTCTAGAGTAGAGTACTGCTTTATATTCATGACATAAATATCATAAATTTGCAATATTCAAGTAACAAAAAGTATTCCAAGAAAAAAACACTTGGATAAAGGTATTTTCACAAATAGTGTAAACTTAGCTCTCAAAGTCAGGGTAAACCAGTGTCTGCTAAACCTGTGTTTTGATGAGAAAGTTAGGGCCAAGCACTCATGATAGAATAGTAATTAGAACATGGTCCAAGAGTTTGCATCTGACTCCTGTTCCAGTAATCTAGTGATAAACATGTGATACAGATTCTATGAGCCTTCCCAAAGAGACTAAACTTACTGATCATCAATGAATTAGTACAGAGGTGCTTATAGACATAAAACTTTTAATGGAAACATTACTTCAGAAATGTAACCAGTCAATAAAAGACCATTATTTTAGCTTTTGGTTAGTGATACTGAAGCTTTAACTCAGAGCCTCACACTTGTTAGGCAAGTGCTCTACCACTTGAGCCATGACTTGTCCCCATTTTAGCCATTTTAAAAGCTCACTTTGAGAGCTGAATGTGTAGCTTGTCATGTGTGAGTCCCTGTGTGAGTCCATCCTAGCACCAAAACACACAGCAGCAACACAAATAACCCCTTTCCAAATCTGAAGTATTAAACATCTGGTTTGTAAATGGTACATGTTTGTACTACTGAATCTACTACATACTTCTTTGAAGAGACAATATAATATTTGTAAATATACCTGGGGATGTGTAAAATGAGGATAAAACCTATCTGATCAACTTGCCCAAGAAGTCTAGTAGTCTTAGTAATGTTAAGAAGATTATTTCAGGGCTGGGAAGGTGGCTCAGTGGTAGAGCGCTTGCCTTGCATGCATGAGGCCCTGGGTTCAATTCCTCAGCACCACATAAGCAAAAAGAAAAAAGCTGGAAGTGGCGCTGTGGCTCAAGTGGTAGAGTGCTAGCCTTGAGCTGAAGAGCTGAGGGACAGCGCCAAGGCCCAGAGTTCAGGCCCCACAACCAGACCCCCCCCCAAAAAAAAAAAAAATAAAAGAAGATTATTTCAGCAAATCTGTTTTTCTACCTGGAAACATTTTAAATACTTTGTGGGGGGGGGCGCTATAAAAACTAACGTGGCTGGGTGCTAGTGGCTCACACCTGTAATCCTAGTTGCTCAGGAGTCTGAGATTTATGGATCTTGCAGTTTGAAACCAGCCTGGGCAGAAAAGTCTGTGAGGCTCTTACTTCCAATTCATCAGCAAAAAAGCCAAAGGTAGAACTGTGGCTCAAGCAGTAGAGTATCAGTCTTGAGGGAAAATTCCAAGCAAGAGTTAGTTGGAGGCTTTGAGTTCAAGCCCTAGTACTAGCACCAAAAAAAAAAAAAAAAAGAGTTAAAAAAGAGTAATATGTAGTCATTATAGAAAACTTGAAAATACAGGAAAAAATGGAAAACAACTCATAAACTACCCATATTTTAACATATTTATTTTCATATTATTGCCATGTTTTAAAAAACAGTTGCAATCCAGTTAGGTATATTTGCATATTATATCATATCTCTATCTCTATATCATCCCCCTGCTTTCATAAGTGACATTAAACAAACTTTAGTTGATGTTTAAAATACAGCAATTTATATTTATCAAATTCTGAGTTCCCAAAAAATGTCTCTGCTTACTAACCACTGTCCTAGTTAATACAAAACTATCTTGGTATTCAGTTCATTGAGATTAATTGGTTTTTATAAGGAGCTGTGTTGCTTTACCTAGTCTTGAACTCATGAACTCAGTGGTCCTCATGCCTCACCCCCTGAATAGCTTGACTATAGATGTATATCACTACGCCCAGCTTTTAACTCACTGTGTTTTGATAGTAGTTTTTGTTGTTGTTGTTGTCTGCATACAAGAATTGTATTTATTTTGAGTATTCTTGGCCTTTTCCAGTATCAAAAATTAATCTTCTGACTGAAATATCTTGGTCATTTGGTGACTATGACTCTGTAATAGTATATGTGGTTTCTGATATATTTTGTGTGGATAAATTTAGTCTATATAAACATCTCTCCACTTTAGTTTTTTGTTTGTCAGTCATGGGGCCTGAACTCTGTCCCTTAGCTCTTCAGCTCAAGGCTAGCACTCTACCACTTGAGCCACGGTGCAAATTCCGGCTTTTTCTGCTTATGTGGTGCTGAGGAATCGAACCCAGGGTCTCATGTATGCAAGGCAAGCACTCTACCACTGGGCTACCTTCCCAGACCTGCACTTAAGTATTTAAAACTATATATCAACTTAAATCAGTATCAAACTATATAAAATGATACTGGAGTCAGAAGATCTGGGTTGGAGTCCTTTCTGTCTTGCTTTATTCTTCAGTGATGGTATAGTACTCAGGGCCTTACAAATGCTAGTCAAGTGGTCTACTGCTAAACTACATTCTCAACCCTAGAATCCTGTTTTGTTCATTTTTCTTTTTTAGTGGGTATGAACTCAGGGCTTCCTGCTTGCCAGGCCAGCACTCTACCACTTAAGCCACATCCCTAGCCCTTTTTGCTTTCATTATTTAATTTTAATTAATAGGATCTCTTTTAAATTTTTTCTTGATAACCTCCTACCACCCCCTTTCTCTCATTTGGGAGCCACTATTTTTGGTCAACTTTGTATCTATCTTAGTATCTGATTTATGTCCTGTGTCAGTTCAGGGGTTGTTTGTTTTTGAAAGATTTTAAGAGCTAGAAAATAATTTGCATTTTAAACCAGGGTTAGAAACTAGAGTACCTTCAGTAGCCAAGAAGCAAATGTGACTATAGGGTCTATAGCTCTTATCAAATGGAACTCTGCTCCTGCTGCTGTTGCTATATAGTTGTTAGCTCTTTTAGTTGATGTTTCATACCAAAATAAATTTGTATGAAACTTCTGATTTAAATTTTTTTATTTTATTTTTTGTACTAGTCCTGGGGCTTGAACTGGGGATTTGGATGCTATCCCTGAACTTTTTTGCTCAAGGCTAGTGCTCTACCACTTGAGTCTCATCTCTACTTCTGGATTTTGGGTATTTATTTGGATATAAGAGTCACAAGAGTTTCTTACCTGGGTTGTATTTGAACTGCAATCCTCAGATCTCAGCCAGGATTGCAGGAAGTAAAAGTGTCATGGACTTTTCTGTTGGATCTGGCTTTGAACCTTGATCCTCAGATCCAGCCTATTGAGTAGACCAGGATTACAGAGTGGTTGGAAATTCTTGAAATTTTTTTTTTTTTTTTTTTTGGTCAGTCATGGGCCTGAACTCTGGGCCTGGGCGCTGTCCCTCAGCTCTTCAGCTCAAGGCTAGCGCTCTACCACTTGAGCTACAGCACCACTTCCGGCTTTTTCTGCTTATGTGGTGCTGAGGAATTGAACCCAGGGCTTCATGCATGCAAGGCAAGCACTCTACCACTGAGCCACCTTCCCAGCCCCATTCTTGAAATTTTTTGAGTGAAGTATTAAACATTAGAGTACAATGTGTATGTGTTAGTTTGGCTTAGGGGCTGCCAGTGTATAACCTGTTTTTAAACCTGGTCTTAACAAGACTAAAAGTGTACTAAGCACATTATATGTTCAAGTTGGCATTTATTAGGTATAGTTCATGTGTGAGTTTTCCCTCTAGTAAGCTTTTGTCTGAGATAATAGTTATGATTTGGAGAGTTCTAAGCCTGAATTTTTTCCACACATTCTAATCATTGTATGATGTCTCTCACTGAGGTGTTATGCACTCATTTTTTTTTTTTTTTTTGGTCAGTCGTGGGGCTTGAACTCTGGGCCTGAGCACTGTCCCTCAGCTCTTCAGCTCAAGGCTAGCTCTCTACCACTTGAGCCACAGTGCCACTTCCGGTTTTCTGGTAGTTTATTGGAGATAAGCGTCTCACAAACTTTCCTGCCCCGGCTGGCTTTGAACTGCAATCCTCAGATCTCAGCTTCCTGAGTAGCTAGGATTACAGACAGGCATGAGCCACCGGCACCTGGCTCATCTTCATTTTGACATGGCATATACCCCAGCATGCATTTGTGCAGCAGAACCCTGCTATCATGCTGGGAAGGCTACCTAAGACCAGATTTTCATACAAATAATGCCAAGTCTCCTAAGCAGGCCTATACAGAGAAGGCAGAACCAGTGTTTCCAGAGCTGCCTTTACTTGAACAGTAACAAGCCAGACAGACGAAAGTATGGAAAGGCACCAGAGAGAAGAAAAGCATTTCTGGTTTCCAAGAGTTACCAGAATCCCTAGAAGAAAATTTCCCAACTTTGCTCTGTGAATTAACATTCTGATTTATTCTCATACAAAATGCTTATAAGTGAAATAATTCCCAAGTTTGTCTAAAACAAATAAACTAGCTGAAAATGGATTGGTAAGAATGTAGTTATGTTAGGATATTATTATTATTATTTAAATACCTGGTTTTGAGGGAATCATCTCTAATAAATTTTTGGTTTGGGGAATTATTTTAGATCGTGATGCTGGAGATGGAGTCCTGATTCCGGAAGAAACAAGTGTGTTTTCAGAAGAATTAAAATGGGCATCCAGAACTGAAAATGCAAAATTAAGTGGAAAAGAAAAAGAAGTGGACAGTTTCCCAAGCAAACCACATTCTCAGTTTTGGGATGATATCCCAGAGTTACCTGCAGTTAATAGCTCTGTAGCACCCTCTAGTGGACAATTAAGCAATATGGATAAAATAGATGAAAATCATTTTATATATTCTCACAGTCGAACATCACCCCTAATTCAGCCAGTAGAAAATGTGGGACAACTTCATGGTATCACACCTGTAAAACTGTGTCGCAAAGAATTACGTCAGATTTCTGCCATGGAACTCTCATTACGACGTTCCAATCTTGGAGTAGGAGTTGGATCAATGACTGCTGATTCCATTGAAGTATCTAGGAAACAGAGTGATTTTAAAACTTAGGCATTTAACAGTAGAACCTTTAATTTAGTGAATAAAAAAAAATAAAAATATTTCTTTTCCTAACCTGTTAAAAATTAAAACTCAAGCTCACTAGGATCCAAGAAAAAGGAAAGGATTGAATTTCTCATCTTTTTGTATATTTATGGACCTGCTATAGTGTATTTCTGGAATTCCAATTTGCATTTCCATAGTAATCAAACAATTTTATTCAAATATTTGATAACATTTAAATATTTCCACTTATAAGATGCACACATAAATTTTCAGGCATTTTATTTCATTTTTTTCAGGCATACTTGAAGAATATTTGAAGAATAGACTAACTTGTCCTTCAAATGCATATTATAGCATTATGTTGTAGCATATTACAATATACAATAACTATTGCTGTTATTCTAAAATACAAATGTATTTCTATGTTTAGGAAATCCAACTAAGTATTTAGCTTGTATCAGAAGGGGTCACCAGTTGCATATGTTTTGGATGGATTTGTTTTATATTATTAGTTTGCTAATAGAACAAATGTTTCACTTTCTTCTGTCCTATGCAGTCAGAATGGGAAAGTATTGGACATAATTCCATGCAACAGGGTAGCAGTAATAGATTCAGCAAAGAAATCTAACATTCCAAGGAAAAGAACACTGGTGTGAGCAGCCAGGCCACATGGAGTGTCTGTAAAGCTTGAAGTCTAGCCAAGGCATCTTTAGCCAACATGTGCTTAAGTATGGCAGCTTGCCTCATCAAGTTTTTTGCAGGCCAAACTACACTGGGGCTGTGAATATGTAAATGAAAGTTTTGCTAAAATTGCCCTTCGAGTTTTTCTTTTGTCAAAATTTTACATAATATTTAGAATTAACTGAACAATTTGACCACCAGTTCTTTTCCACCATCTTTCCCCATCATGGGTAACATTCCACTATCAAGACCTGAGGTATTATTTTGTTACTTTTTAATACTTTACCAGACATTGACTTCTAAACCAAAGTTGAGTTTCTTGGACTAGTCACTGATGTTGCTCAATAAGAGCCGCTGTGCTTCCATGCTGAGTCCATTTGTTTTTATTGAAACAGCCACAGACACTTTTTTATATTCTTTCTTCTGTTGCTGCTGGTCTGACCATCACTCCTAAGACCTAATCTGTTTCCTTTCATTAGAACACCAATGACCTCCATCCTTTTTCTACTCGCTAGCCCCAACAGACTAGAGTTCCTTGTCTTATTGCTAAAGAAACAATTCTTAAAAGGAAAGAGAAACTTCTAAATAGTTTTTTTAATCTCTTAAGCATGGTGCTAAAATAAAATCATAAGTTAAATAGATTTCTTTGGATTTACGTTGGAACTGAACAGTTTGTAGCATTAGTCTAATGAGAAATTGCCTCTCCTAAGGTTCAGACAACTAATTTACAAACTAACATAGAACGTTATTTTATCTGGTCATTTTCTGGTTTACCCTTAGTCTTCCTATTTGCCTTTCATTTACATGTCGGTCGTATAGCAAAAGCCTTCAATAAAATATAGGAATTATACATTTATTAGTAAATATACATTTATTCATGAGTCATAATAATAAATTCCTTATAAGATTATATAATGTGCTATTAGCTATGAGTAATTCATATGAGAATGTATTCCGATACTAGAATGGTGCCTACTCAAGGAATAACAAAGCAAAAGCTATATTAAATTACAGTGATTTGATTTGATAATGCAAAAGTGAATTGACCACTAGTAACAAAGTTGTGATATTTTCCCCTGTCTTTGATTAGCTGTTTACCCTTTATTATACTATGATATATTTCATGCACATACTCGAAACAAATAATGCAAATAACATATTCTGGAACTTAATTTAACTTCTGGTTATTGTAGGTTAATCAATACTCTTAACAAAGGAAACAAAAAATAAAGTACCTCATTTAGGACAAATAAAATTATTTTAAATTTAAATAGATTTTACTCTTTTATGGTATTCAATATTCTTATTATCTTTTAGTTGTACAAAGGGGTTTTAATTCAACATTTATACTTAGTTATATGCTTCCTTTAGTCTAAACCTTTTGTCATTATGTTTGCTTTATTACATACAGAAACACTTTTGGGGTAGGGGGAGTTGTTCATTATTTTCTTTTATTCTCCACCTGTAGTAGAACATTTGTAAGGGAAGACATCTCTAACGTAACTAGGTTTTGGTTTGGGTTTTTTTTTTTATTTTTGCTAATTCCAGAGTTACACTGAACAGAGTGGAAATTTTTCATATATGGGAATTATGCATAGTGAAAACATGGATGAAGGTGGTGTGTGTGTGTGTGTGTGTGTGTGTGTGTGTGTGTCTGTCTGTCTGTCTGTCTGTCTGTCTGTCTGTCTGTCTATATTACAGTGCTGGGGATAAGTCCTAAGCTTGGCTTCACTTAGGTAAACACTCACTGAGATATACTCCAAGCCACTGCTATGCTTTAATGTTTGTTTTCTCTTGTTAGTGTATTATTGGCTCCTCATTTCTTCCCAGCTTCATGAACCTTTGATTTCAAGGAGTTAGCAAAAATATATAGGATCTTCAGTTATGTGGACTGTATTGCCATTAGCCATTGCCTTGTTTATATTAAATATAGAGTAATAAAATTTATGAATATTTCAGACTAGATCACATTTGAAAAATAAAGGCCTTATATCCTAGGATGGATTATAATGTCATGAAATACTTAGTAGTTGTTCGGTTCTATGGTCACAAAATTTCAAACATTCAACGGACACAGGACATATTTGACTTTAAAAACACTGTTAAGCCAATATCTGAAGATTCAAGTAGAAAATTTATTCTACCTTCAACATTACTAGAATTAAAAACATTTATTGTATATATTTTACACTTGTTATATTCGTAGGCTGCCCTCGTTAATACTGATGACATACTTAAATGTGAGACAGAAATCTTGTTGTAATAAGTACCTTCAATGCATTGGGTATTGTTATTTGGGGGCCTAACTGGGTGGTAGTTTGCCAGGGGAAGGGTTGGGAGCTTCTGTCCTACAGGAAGAGAGGGTGTGTTCTCATTGTCATGGTGCTGCACTGCTTAAACTCCTTGCTCTTGATGTGCACTTCATACCAGCACATAAGAACAAACTGATGGATAATCATTATGCTGGTTCATGTTGAACTCAACATGATCCCAGAATGCGGAACAAGGGAAATTATAAAAGGAAAGCTCATACTCAGGAGGCTGAGATAATAGACTCTCAATTCAAAGACAGCCCAAGCAGACATATCCAAAAGGTATTATCCAGCAAAAAAGCTGGAAAGGGAATTTGTGGTAGCTCAAGTGGTAGAGCACCAGTCTTGCCAAAAAGCCAAGCAAGAGCACAGGCCCTGAGTTCAAGCCCTAGTACCGGCATTCCCTACCCACCACCCCAAAAAAAACACCTCAGAAAAACCTTCTTTTGAGTATTGTATAGTTCTCATTTGCCCTTCTCCTCCTCCTCCCCCCCCCCCTTTCTCCTCCTCCTCCTCCTCCTCTTTTTGAGAGTCATAGGGCTTAAACTCAGTCCCTGAGCAGTTTTTCTCAAGGCTAGGGCTCTACCACTGTGAGCCACAGTACCACTTCCAGTTTTCTGATGGTTAATTGGAGATAAGAGTCTCATGGACTTTCCTGCCCAAGGCAGCTTTGAACTGTGATCCTCAGATCTGAGCCTCTTGAGTAGCTAGGAGTGAGCCGCAGAACCTGGCTCATTTGTCCCTTTTAATATTTTTTTCTTCTAGGAAGTTTCACAGTAAATTAACACAATTGCCACTACTTGAAATGCTAATAGTGTAATTTGATTGAACTCAAAGATAATTAGACTTAGCTTTAATACTCTGTATAAAGTTTGGTTTTCTGTTTTTTCCTTTTTTATTGTACCAGGGCTTAAACTCAGGACCTCACACTCTTGCTCAACTTTCTTGCTCACAGTTGGCACTCATCACTTGAGCAGGCTTGCAGCCTGGCTTTTCTTGGTTATTTTTTATTCATATATATATTTTTTGTGGGCCGTGGGGCCTGAACTTTGGGCCTGGGTGCTGTCCCTCTGCTCTTCAGCTCAAGGCTAGCACTTTACCACTTGAGCAACAGCGCCACTTCTGGCCTTTTCTGCTTATGTGGTGCTGAGGAATCGAACTCAGGGCCTCATGCATGCAACAAAAGTACTCTACCACTGAGCCACCTTTCCAGCCCTTTGTTGGTTATTTCGTAAATGATGTCTTAGAACTTTGCTGCTTAGGGTTGAATCTCAACTGTGATCCTCCTATCTAGGATTATAGGCATGAGCTATAGGTACCTGGCTTAACACACAGTTCCACTGAGTTATTTCTACAGCATTTCAAAGGAAAAATATAGCAGTCTTATAAACTTTGTTACAACAAGCAAATGCTTTGTATCTATGAGACAAAATCACACCAAAAAAGAGTAAAAATTTTAATCTTCAAAAAATTTATACTCAGAATTCTTAGACAAAGTCCACTTATTAATAAATGCTTCTGTAATTAAAGTAGAAAGAAATTACTTTAAAACTCCATTCACATACACACACACACACACACACACACACACACACACACACACATACGTATTATTTTTACTTATATAAACAGCTCACTATGTTGACCTCAAAATTTCAACCCTGTCTATAGCCCTTTCCTCCTATCCTGTAACCCTGCTGGGATTATAAGCATGTTCTACCATGTATATCCTAAGGTGCCTTTTTGTTTTGCCAGTCCTGGGACTTGAACTCTGGGCCTTTGTGCTGTCTCTGAGCTTTTATGGTTCAGGTTAGTACTCTACCACTTGATCCACAGCTGTACTACTGGCTTTTTTTGTAGTTTAGTGGAGTAGCCTCCTGAGTAGCTAGGATTACAGGTATGAGCCTCCAGCACCTGGTTGGTGCCTTAATTTTAAAAGAACCACCTCCTGCAAAATTATCAGCAACAGATTTTAGGTCTGTACTTAATTCTTAGTGACTCAGGATTCTATCAGCTCTAAGAAGACAGGGACTAAGGAACAGGAAAAAAAGATTTCTTTGAAAGTACTGTGTAGACAAGTAAATTATTTTTAAGTGATTTTAAGTGATAGGACAGTTTATTAGAAGAGAAAGAGCATGTTGCCTAGACCTACCTCAGGGAAGACAGAACTTCAGCCCGTATTAGCCATCTCATACCATCTTCAGGATTTATAGAGTTTGGTCTTGGGTTAAATAGGGAGAATAGGACAGCTTCTGCTTCTTACAAAGTTGTGGCACCAAAGATTCAGTTCCCATCCTTATTTCTTCATTCTTTTCTTCTTCCTCATTCTCTTCTTCTTTTGTAGTCCCCTCTCATATTTCATTTGGTCTATCTACAAGCTTTTAGGCCACAATTCCCTGCCTGTTTTTCTACTAACTCGAATCATTTTCCCCTTCTAAAGAGGTAACCCTAACTGCTGCTAGGGAAATAGGAGTAATGAAAGGAAAGGATTTTCAAAAATATTTGGAGGGAATGTTTTCTTTGGCAGAAAATACTCCTAACTAGAACTGAATTTGCCATTTGAAAATATGCATAACCAGGTTTTAACAGTGGTTCATTTTCCTGTGGTTATAATTAATCCAGGATTATATAAAGCAGCCATCCTTTCAGAATTTGAATGGAAACTGAAACTAATCACTAGTTAACAAGAAACAATAACTTGGGATGAAGCACAGCAGTCTAACAAACTGAAGAGAGCACTTGGGATTTAAAGGATTTTTACCAATGAAGAAGCATCGAAGACTATATCAAAATAAAGATTTGATTGTAGGCAAAATAAAAAAGTGATACTATCTCAGTTTTGCTCCCTCTGAAAATATCCCTGAAGTTTTCTACTGAAAAACCTGTAGATGAAAGCTTTCCACTCATGATTATAAATAGCAGCTATCATTCTGCCACAAGTGGCTGAATTAACATTACTTATTTTTGTCTGTGGCTTACAGTGGCATTTAACTGTCCTACCCTGCAGGATCGAGGAGTTAGTTGAATTCTACTAAACTTGAAGTTTTGCTATTTTTCCAGCATACTGTGTTCTCTAGCTGAAGAGCAAGAACCAGAATTATAATATTTTTATACAGAGGCCTTTGAGATTCCCATCACCTGAGGGAACTGGTTGGCTCTGAATGGTAGCACTACAGGCTCAGACCTAAGCACATCACTTTCATATTTTCACAGATAACTTATGGTGTCAGCTGCTTTAAGATGACTGGAAGGACTCAAGCTATAATAGGGCACATTAAATAATATTTTCCTCAACCTCCAAACAGCCTTTCCTTTCCTTCAAAGAGAAAAGCCATGAGCCACTCCTATGCACTTTACTTTTTTAAATTTATTTAATTTTATTTTATTATTGTGAAAATACTGTACAGAGGAGTTATAATTACATGGGCAAGATAATGAGTACATTTCTTATCAAGCATTGTAGCCTCCTCCTTTGTTTCCCCTTCCCATCCCTTCCCAGCCTCCTCCTGTCCCCTACCCCCAACCCTCCCTGCTCCCCGCCCCAACCAAAGTTGTAAAGTTTGTTTTCGACATAACGACTTGTACATCTCATTGTTGCAATGCGCCCACCTGTATCCCTATTTAGACGATTTGTTTTTCCCCTTCCCCTCCACAAATTATACCGACATCAAATACAATGAAAGCAGGGGTTATACTGTGGGGGTTATACTTTGTGCAACAAAGATCCTATGCACTTTAAAACAAGGTACTTTTCAAATACAATTTGCAGTGATAAAGTGTTCTTTTTCATTGCACAGCAATCTGGTGCTTTACCTAATAAACTCACAAAAGTACTTTTTTTTTTTTTTTGTCAGTTATGGGACTTGAACTCAGCTCAAGTAATAGAGCTCAAACTTTGAGGTGAAAAACCTAAGCAAGAGTGCCCTGGCCTTGAGTTCAAGCACTAGTACTGGCATTTT